TCTATAATTTCTAGGAAACAGCACATTGTCATAATAATGGGGATATGGCTTTTTGTAAGCTCTAGCACGATTCCTAGTTTCGATCCCGAATCTATTCCTCATAATATCACTAATCATATCCTCCATGTTATTAGGCCCTTGTGGATTTGGTGGTGGGTTTGGTGGCCTAATAGGTTGCGTTTGTGGCGCAATATGATTATATTGGCCTTGCCTAGTATCGGGAGGATATCCCCTAGAAACATCATTATAAATGTTAGGAATATGTGGGGGAATTTGAGGACTAGTGGTGGCAGTAGATACAGGAGGATCAAATGTTCTAAAGTGATACAAATAACTAGCATTAATCATTGGATCAATTCCCTGTATCGGGACGATTGCACTGGTCTGATTGGCCCAGGGCCCGGTCTGACCGGCGTCATGTTGCGCGGTCGGACCGGCCTGAGGGCCGGTCTGACCGGTGGGATAATACCCGGTCTGACCGGCCATCTGGCCGGTCGGACCGATGGGATAATACCCGGTTTGACCGGTCATTTGGCCGGTCGGACCGACGGCTGTGTCGCGGTCTGACCGACTGTCAGGCCCGGTCGGACCGGCCGTGAACGCCGTTCCGTCGGTTTTACTACCCGTTTGACCTATAGGAGGTTGATCAGCAGTGGTATAGGCTTTATCTTTTAATGTGTAATCATCCATAAAAGAACCGAGCCTACTCCTTAAAAACCCATCAACTTTATCCTTAAACATTACATCTAATCGATCTTTAAAATTAGCCATAGATGAATCTATTGTAGATGCAATTTGTTGTTGGATAGATTGTGATACCTCGTCATTACTTACCACGTCGGGAGCAAGCTTGGGATGTGGCCCGGGCTTGATGATCACGCCTTGACGAGTCCTAGTAGTTGCTCTCATCAACGCCTCCCATGTGAGCTCGTTGATGTACTCCTCCATAGCTTTACGATCTTCTCCTTCGAAGCCATCCAATGTGACCAGCATCACATTAGATGGCTCCACCTCCGTCTTGGATGGCGGCTTCGTCATGGCGAAGTCGAAGTTGAGTTGACGATGAACGGATCTCCTCCCCAGCGGAGTCGCCAAAAATCGTGTTGGCAACTTTTTTGACAAGTTGACAAGCACGATCGTATCACCTTAAGTCTTGCGGTGATCCTAGAGTCGCCAGCCACCTCGATCTAGCAAAGAGCTAAACCTAGATGGGTTTTGATAACTAAACCGGCTAGCGGAGCTGATTTCTAGATAACTACCCGTCTCGTGGGCAAAACGGAAGGTTTTCAGGACAAACCTACAAAGAGGTGTCGCACACTCGCAGCGGTGGCGTACGGTTTACGGCGCAAACCGACAAAGATGGACAAACTAAGAGAAAACTGAAAGCAATATGAAAAGAACGATTCGATTGATTGATTGTAGATTGATCTTTACAATGAACCGGCCTTGTCCCTTATATAGGGGTTGGACTTGCCCTCTCACAGGCCCTCCTCCATGTCCAACTCGGGTTAGAAACCAAAGGAAACCCGAAACATGCCTTTCCGAGCAAGGAAACCTCGAGACCCGACAAAGTAGGGTCGGACTCGGACCCGCCGGTCAGACCGGCCACACACCGCCGGTCTGACCGGCTTACAACCGGCGGTCTGACCGCCCAACACATGGCGGTCAGACCGGCCTACTCGGAGGAAACCGGTAGATTTCCAAATTTTGGCAATATTTTCTATTTTAACCTAGGTGCCAAATTTGGGTGTAAACAATACTCTTACTTGAATATAAAATTCGTGTGATTAAATGTTAAAGGGGACCAGGATAGTTTTCTCCTACTCATATTTCTTTCAACCAATGTAGTGCTTTTATACATCCTTATAGGATATTGAAATATCAGATCGAAATCGAGAATGCGATTTCTTGGCCATCTCCTCGACTCAGGCTGAGCTTAAATCAGCTTCTCCCTACGTTTTCCGAAAGGGGCTGTCTATATATCATGTGATAGAAAATCCCACCTCCTATCATTCAAATTTTGGACCATTGGATATGCTTTAAGATTCATGCAGCCCCTTAACCCTACTCCTCCTCCTCCCATTTCAGTTGCCGCTTCCACTCCTCCTCCCGTCCTCTCACGCCGCCACCACCGTCACCGCCGCCACCGCCCCACCGCGCCGCCGCCCGCCTCGCCGGCTGGCCGGAAAGAGTCAACGGCGCCGGTGAGCCCCCCCTCCCCTCTCTTTCTCCTCATGGCGGCGACGACGAGGTGCCCTTGCCCCGCCGTCTTCCCCGTCTCCGGTGGCTCCCGGCCACCGGATCCACCACCACCGGCCGCCGTCTCCTAATCTTACGCTTGCTTTGCCCCCGCTGCCGACGCCGGCCCACCGCCCTCCTCCATCCCCGCGGCTTCTGCGGCGCCGCCGCCGCCTCGCCGCCCGCCGGAGTCCACCGCCCACTGCCAGTCCTCCGCTGCCCACGGCCATCCCTCTAAGTCCCGAGGAAACCCCCCTCTTCTCCCTCCCCCAACCCTCCTCCTACCCTCACCCTAACCCCAAACCCTAACCCACCGGAGTTGGGGTGTCGCCAGCGCCGGAGAAGAAGAGGAGCCCGCCGGAGTTGGAGGAGAGAAGTCAATGCACGAGTCTTGGTATGGATCCAATGGTTCAAAATCTGTAAGATTTCATCCCAAATTTCATTCGAATGCTATATAGCAATCCCGTTTCGGAAATGCAAAACAACATTATTTTTTTAAAAGAGCTTTTTATATAGAAACTTTTTTAAAAAATTAAATATATCATTTCTCAAGTTCGTAACCGGTAATACTCAATTCACTGCTTTGCATTTCTGGTACTAAATAACAGAGATGGGAGAAGACTCCCTATCAGTCTCCAAAAAAGAATTAAAGAGAAAAAGATACTAAAGGACACCAAAATCAGGCGTACAGTGACATGCATTGCACCACTGATTCGCCGCTATTGCAGATGATTCCTCTCGCATGTGGCTTTTAATTCGAAGTTGGTTAACAAAAACCAACTGTTCGATTCTTCGTCTCACTGACAGCAGCTGGTGTCACTGTAGCATAGCATTGACACAGATAGTTTAATCTTTAATGGCATGCGTGATAAGCAGAGAAATCTGCACATGGTGCACGAGATGTTGCGGGTCGTTGGGCTGCTTAGTGTACAGTAATGCTAGTACATGACAATTTGATATAGTGGATAACTAGGCTATTAAATTTAATCCATGTAGCCTAGGAGCCTCATCGATTGATTTAATAAGCCAAAATAAAAGTTAAAATTTAAATTTTCTAACTTGATTCTTTGATTGTTATAAACAAATATATAAAAGTTTTACCTATAAATTATTTTTTATTTCCTAACAAACCATTTTAGCTTATCAGAAAATATGGGCAACAAATGAGGCCTAGTACACTGAGTAGATTAAGTTATTTTAAGTAGTGAGGAATTTAAGTTATACTCCTCTGGTTTTGAATACTCCCTCTGTTTTATATTAAAAATTATATTTAATTTTTTTTGTTAACATATTTTAAGTTTCACTAAGTTTATATAAAATAAAATAATATTATCAACACAAAATAAACAATATCAAAATATATTAACTGATAGTTTAATGAAACAATTTGTTGTTTTAGATGATAGTAATTTTTTTATCAAATCTAAAAGAAAATTTAATTAGGAAAAAGTCGAAACAATTTATAATATAAATCAAAGAGGGTACATGATGTCATTTATTTTTTTAATACATGTTTTACAATTTATTTTATTTTAAAATTTTATGTAAATATGAGAAAATGTATTGTGCTTAGAGATTATGCTTAGAGTTTCTTTAATAATTAAATCAAGACATAACTAAATAAATAATAATTATGTATTTTTTAATAAGATACATTATTGAACGTTAGTATTAAAAAGCCAACCACGACCATCTATTAAAAACCAAAAATAGTATTTCGAACATTATGAAAGTTCTTTTCTTGTACGAAAATCTCTCTCCTATGAGAGCGATTGAGCGAATAAAAAAAATTCGCCAAGAAAATAAAATATAGCTAGTTCTGCACGTAATGATCAGTTGATCACGGTCACGGGATCTCATTTTTGTGAATCTGAAGAAGAAGAATAATGGTCACCATGGATTGGAATGTTGCGTGCACGAAACACATCCGATGCCCGTGCCCTATTGCGCTTCCTCGCTTCCATTTGTCAACTCCCAAATTATAAATCACCTCGTAATTTCTCGCTTAATTATTCCAACTTGGGCCCATGATTCCAATCCAAGCCCATTAAATGCCCACTCATAATTTCTCCCTTGATTTGTAAAGAAATAAGTTCACCGGAGGTCCCTCAACTTAACAGCGAGATTTTTTTAAGAACCCTTCACTACAAAACCATAAATGTGTGCCCTTAAACTCACTTAAACCGTGCACTCAAGATCCTATGGCAGTATATATGGGTGATTTCACTGACGTGGCATCCTAGTCAGCCAAAAAAAAGTATGTGGGGCCCACATATCAGCTGCATATTTTTTCTTCTCCTTCTCTTCTCTTCTCGAGCGTCGAAGCGGCAGCGACGACTTCACGGCGCTCCAAGACGCGGAGCTTGAGCTCACCTCCGCAACCAACTCGGCCTCCGCCGTCCTTTTCTCCCGCCGTCGTCGTCGCGCCGGCCGGCTCTCTCTCTCTCTCTCCCGCCGCCGCGCCAACCACCTCCTGTCCCGCCGCCGCCGTCGCGTCGGCCGCCTCCTCTCCTTTTCTCCACGTCAGCGAAACCACCTATATATATACTGCCATAGGACCTTGAGTGCACGGTTTGAGTGAGTTTAGGGTACACATTTTTAGTTTGTGGTTAAGGGACCTTATAAAATCTCGCTGTTAAGTTGAGAGACCTCATGTGAACTTATTCCATTTATAAACATGGGCCCCTAATTCCGGCCCACATACATCACAAGGCCCACTTAATCTTCGGCCCATTTATTTATTCTTACAAGCAAACGGTTAACCCCAAAAAAACCCCCACTTCTCCCACCGCCGCCGCCGCCGCCGCCGAGGAAGAAGCTCTGCTCCGCCATGGCCGGCGACGCGCTGCGTGCGGCCGATCTCCCCGGCCGAGGACGCGGGCTCCTCGCGGCGCGCAGCATCCGGGAGGGGGAGGTCATCCTCACCGAGCAGCCGCTGCTCCTCTACCCGGCCTCGCTCGCCTCCCTCCCCTCCTTCTGCTCCGCCTGCTTCCGCTCCCTCTCCGCCGCCGCATCCCCCTGCCCCTCCTGCCGCGCCGCGGGATTCTGCTCCCCGTCCTGCGCCGCCGCCTCCCACCCGCGCCTCCTCTGCACCGCGCTCTCCGGCGGCGGTGGCAACGGAAACCTCGCGTCCGCCGCCGAGCCGCACCAGGAGCCGCTCCTCTTCCTTCTCTCCGCCTACTCCCTCCCGGAGCCCTCCCTCCGCGTGCTCCTCTCCCTCTCCTCCGCCGCAACGCCGCCCCCGAGCGACCAGGACCCGGGGAGCCTGCACGCCATGGTGGCGGCGCTGGTGCCGCCGCAGATGCTTCCGCCAGGGTTCTCGCCGGACCTCACGGCGGCGCTCCTCTCCAAGGACCGGACCAACAGCTTCTCCATCATGGAGCCCTACCGCCCCGAGGTGCCGCAGCCTCTCCGGAAGGCGAGGGCCTACGCCGTGTACCCGCGGGCGTCGCTGCTGAACCATGATTGCCTCCCCAATGCTTGCCATTTCGATTACGCCGATAGGCCGGGTCCCGGGAACACCGACATTGTGGTGCGAGCTCTTCACGACATCACCGAGGGGAGGGAGGTGTGCCTCAGCTACTTCGCGGCCAATTGGCAGTACAAGGATCGGCAGCAGAGGTTGCTGGAGGACTATGGGTTCCGATGCGAGTGTGAGCGGTGTCAGGTGGAGAGCAAGTGGAAGCAAGATGATGATAGCGATGGCGGCGATGGGGATGACACCATGGAAGAGGAGGAAGAGGATGGTAATGGTGGAGAAGGTGGTGATGATGGGATGGAGCAGGAGGAGGGGGATGGTGGTAGCGATAGCGATGATGATTTCCCGCACTCATACTTCTTTGTAAGGTATCTGTGTAACCATGGTGAATGCTATGGCATGCTTGCGCCACTTCCGCCCTTGCCAAACGGTGAGCCGTCCCATGTGTTTGAGTGCAATGTCTGTGGGAACCTGAAGAACGAAGATGAAATTGATGCTCCTGATGGTGGTGATTCCAGCATGGCGGATTAGGATGAGCTAAGCATAACCGATCTGCTTGCTGCTTCTTTTGGTGGGTAAGAATTCCATACTTGCTGTCATTATTGTTATCGGTTTGGTCTTTTGATTTGATATCCTACACAGTCCAAGACCGTAATATTCAATCCATGAGCACTTGCTGATCTGTATAGAGTATAAGGAAATATTTGACTGAGCTGAAATGCTAACCTAGTTGCAACAATCGTAATCCATTTTATTTTGTTAATTAAGATATTGTTTATGTGGGGGATCTTTTATGGTTTTACCTTTTGAAGTGCTTCCTTACTGGATAATCAATCAAGCTTCTTCACTTGTATTCGGAATACTGTTAACTTGTTAAAGTGGATGTTAAGATCCTCGGTGCTTGCTTTGTATTAAATAATAATTCTGTTGTTTGGCAAATAAGCGTGTGAAAACCACCAGAATCATCTCTATTGACAACAGCCACCACCCTCCACCACCACTGCTGCATTGTTCAATATGCTATTGTTATTTGTGGATTAGTGTTCTGGTTTGCTGTAATCGAATCGAGTCCCCTAAGAGACTTAATACCATTTCAGTAGAAACTTGGTCATGAGATAGCTGACTAGGGTTGAGAAGTGATGGCCTGATGGGATGGTAGTCACTGGAATTTTTCTGTTAGAAAAGGAAAAAAGCTTTAGCCACATAATTCCACCCCCAATTTTGAAAGCGCTAGATAACCAGGGCGCATATAATTATGCTTGGTCCCTCGCCTCTTTCATACCTTTATTTTGCTCAAATGGACCTAAATGTTTGGGCTAGGTGTATAACCTGGCTTATTCCTTCAGAGAAAAAAAAATGAAACTGGAGAGGCTAATGCCAAGTCAAATTGAAGCTGCCAGTGAAATAGCAAATCCGAAGGTTTATGTTATGTGATAAATCAACTATGTTGGGCATATGTCTTTGATTCTACAAGGGTTCAGACCATTTTTCTTTCTGTATTATTATCTGACAATGTGAATTGTTATCTCACAGGAGCTCATAACACTTTGGTGGTAGGACTTGGGAGTACTTCTGTAAACTGGTTGGAGTTTTGACAAAAACGGGAGTTTAATACACCTAAATATGGAGAGATGTATGAACAGAACAACATTCATTGACTGAATGTGGAACTAGCAATCCTTCTTGTACTCAGCAACGTATATATGAATGTGTATCCGTTGTAGGGAGTCCTGCTTGTTCTGTACAATTTCTAATGCTCCCCCTTTATCTAGAATGGTGATTTAGACTTGAGAAATTTATGCAGTCAGAAGCTGATCTCCTGTGATACTTGAAACATTCCGTTTTGTCATGTCATGGTGTAGTTGATTGTATGGCATTGCATCTCTTGTCTACTGATGAGAGGTCAAATCTCATTTCATTTGAATTATGCTTGCATTTTCGCAACTTGGGCAATTGTTTGTTCATCATTCTGGAACTGCATAGATGGCAAAGAGCAAAGGCTGGCTTTGCCTGGTTGGTTATCACGGGTTGTTGACACGGCTCGTGCTTTTCGTACTGGTTCATGTTTTCTGCCTAAAATTAGTTGTAAAAGGAATCATTTATATGTTAGTACTACCTCCGTTCACTTTCACATGCTGGCACCTGGCATTGGCTTTATCGTTCAAGAAGTTTGGCATTTTGTCGATGGTTTAAAAATTACTAGCTGTCCAAAATTGCGGTGGGGTGAAAAATAGTGGCAGCCATATCAAGGAAGCAGAAAGTAAAAACTAATTCTTCGAAAAAAAATTCTAGCTACGAATTTTAATATATTTAAGAGTGCTACAAATTAGAACATATTTGAGAGGGATAAATATGGTTGTTTCCATCTTACAAAATACAATCAAATTTTAGCTAAAATTCTAAATATGTTAGGATCACACGGAGTAGGACTTTCTACTCTTCCTGCCAGACTATTCACCATTTGAGTTCTTATTGGTTGCCCTACAACCGACTATTTAACCATAACAACATACTCCCCCTGTCCCATAAAAAACCAATCTAGCACCGGCATCCTAGTACAACAAATCTAGATATATGTCACATCCAGTACTAGATTCGGTTTTTCGGGACGAAAGAAGTATTAGTGAAAAAATAATAATTTATAAGTAAAATTTTTACATATTTACTTTAGCGACTTAAAAACCAATATTGAAAAAGCTACTAAAAACCATTAAAATTAGCTATAAATTAAGTTTTTAAGTTTAGATTTCGACAACAAGCCTACTTCCTCTGTCCAAGAAGAATCAACCTAGGAGGAAACACAGATGTGACCTCTCCTAGGGCTAGGACCATGCACGTGGACACATCAATTTGGAGGGGTTGATCCTTCTTGTTTTGGTGGAGGGAGGGAGTATTTTGGAGCGGCAGCGGGCCGACGTGGGGCGGGCAACGCGGTGACGGACGGCACGAATCACGACGTCCCCGGAGCCGTTCGTCGCGTTGACCGGCTAAGTCAGCACCGTACAGTAAAGAAAAGGAAAATCTAGAACCAGCCCCCCTCCTCCTCCTCCTCCTCATCACCTACCCACACGTCACCCGTGGCCCCACATGTCATACGCGCAGACCAGGTCATCCCACGTTCGAAAAGAAAAAAAGAAAAAAAAATCAAAGCACGTCGTCACCTCTCCTCTCACCTTCCTCTCGCCCGTTCAACGACGCCACCGCCTTGCCTCCGTCTATTTACCTATTTAGCCCCCGCCCAACCCGCCCGGAGACGAGACGCCACCGGAGTTCCCCCCACCACCGCTCGCCGCCTTCTCCGCCTCGCCTCGCCGCCGCGTCGACCGCCATGGCTGAGGTACGGCCCCGCGACAGAACTCCTTGTTTATTCGTTTGGTGTTAGGGGCGCGGTCCCTTCCTGCGGTCCTGGAGAGAGAAGAGAGAGAGAGAGAGAGAGAGAGAGAGAGAGAGAGAGAGAGAGAGAGAGAGGAGAGGGTTGATCGATAGGGGTAGATGGGGAGGCCAAGAGAGGAGGATTCCTCTTTTTTTTTTTTGGCGTCGAGTTGTTTGAATATGGGGGAAGAAGCGTGTTCTTTTAGCTTGCGTGTGGGGTTAATTAGGGATCTGATTATGATCTGATGATTGGCCGGCGCGCTGATCGATCAGCTTGCTTGTTCTTGCGCGTGCTTGTCTTGGCTTTCCTTCATCGTGCTTGCAGGCCAGGGTATGACTTGGGGATGATGTTTTGGGCGAAATCTTGCTAGGAGGGCGGTATACCTTTCAGAGTTTCAGTAGTTCAAACACCAACTGATGGACAAGTTTTAGAACTTCATGGTGGGGGTCGAAACTAGCTTGATGATTTTGATTTGTGTACGTTCTTGTTGAAACGAGTACAGATTGCGGAGTAGGCCCGATTGGATAGTTGTTGTACCTACCTTAAATGAGCCATCTTGTTGGTTATGGTCTGTGAGTTCAATGATAGAGCATGATTGTCCCCATCTGATTATTACTAGTTCCCTTCCAGAATGAAGCATAAATTCATTTAATTGTTGTCGGTTACAGTAAATCTTGATTGGGAATTATGATGTATTCCGAGTACCATGTGGCGTGTGCGAAGATGTGATTGAGGACGAATGAGGACTTAGCTGATCCTTGCTATTTTTGTCTATTGTGCAGACTGTTGTGCTCAGGGTTGGGATGTCCTGTGAAGGTTGTGTTGGAGCTGTTAAGCGGGTACTGGGAAAGATGCAAGGTTAGTTTAGCTCTGTCCTCAGCGTTCTGTTTGTTGAGAACTTTTTCCTTTTTGCGAGCAATTTTTACAATGTAACGCGTGCAATGCAACATTGGACTTAACTTATGCCAATGCTGAATCTGAACCAATCCTGGTATATCTCTGCAATTGGTATCTCCTCTTTAAAAATTCCCTTAACTGTATGCTTTTGACGAACACTGGATAATTTTGATTGGGTGAAATCTTGTGCAATTTCTAGTTTCAAATTGTACCTGCGTCTGATTTCTAGGCATAAAGATATTGTTTTGTAATATTGCTTTCGATTGTATTTTGGACTCATACTTTGGCAATTATGTACCTTTCTGTCACTACCATGACACTCACCACTTGTGTAAGTGGCAATGTCCATAGACAAAAGGAAATTAAGGTATCCGGAGTGCAGACGCAAACAAGTTAGGCAACAACTTTAGTATTCAAATGAGAATTTATAGCTGTATTTGCTTGTTTTGCTGGTATTATAAATAAAATTTTGAGCTCTGTTGTTAATGATTGCTATTTGAAATTATCCACAACTATAGAGTATAGTGGGCAAACATATAATTTCGAATTTCTCTCCTGCATGCTATTTATAAATTCAATTAATTTTTAATCAAATTGAAAGAATGGTTGGTAAAAAGGAAAACTACATGTGCTTCATCTTTGGCACATTTTGGTCCAAGGCAGTTGCTTGAATAATGCTAAGGCTATCTTTCAAACCCAACCTCTGCAATCAGCCCTAATGACTTCCAATATTCTGCATTAGATCATGGAAGCACAAATGATTATTTATACTTGCATATGTATTCTTGTAAGTGTCACTGCAATATTTAGCGCATCGATCTAAACATCTGAGTTGGACTTGTGGTTGCTTCAGGAGTGGAGTCCTTTGACGTAGACATCAAGGAGCAGAAGGTCACTGTCAAGGGAAATGTTACACCAGATGCCGTTCTTCAGACCGTTTCAAAGACGGGCAAGAAGACCTCGTTCTGGGATGCTGAGCCTGCACCTGTTGAAGCTACTGCTGCTTCATCTTAAAATGTCATTTTATCTCCTGTGATATGTAAAGGTTGATGTAACAATTTCCCAGTGGAACTGTCTTGTGAGATCACAAAGTTGTCTGTTCTTATGATCATAACTTGAAGCTATTTCAAATAATATCAGACAGCTAGTTACACATATGTACATCTTTGTATTTCTCTATCCTACCAGTATTGGACTATTGGTATGATCAATTTGGTAAAAATACATGGGTCATCACATTGTTTCTGTGGCATATGCGAAAGTTTGTTTCCAAGACTTCCAAGTTACTGTATTATCACCAAATGAAAACTGATGCCTCTATCGAAAGTGATTTGGTTATTGAGCTGTTGCACCTTTCTTTGCTTTGTAGTTTCAGTACCTTCTGAAAGGGTTTTTTGATCACTGTAGGTTATTAAGATGGTAAGATATATTGTAAAACAAGTCTAACAATTATGATTAAGTTCATAGTATTTGAGAGATTTAGAGCTGGATCTGTATTGTAACTAATTACTTTTCCGATGGTATACAGAAATACTTTATTTTGGGCAGAAAATACATAAAAAAAATAAATTAATTAAATTAGGCTAGTGTTCTCCATTAGTAGAAGAACGACAAAGAATTAAAGAAAAAGTTTCGATGCACTAGCTCCTCGTCCAGACCAAAACTGGACATTAGTATTTGAGAGACTAAGAGCTGGATCTGTAACACTAATTACTTTTTTCGATGGTATACATTAAGACTTTTAGTTTTTGCTGAAAATTCATAAAAAAAACAATTAAATAAATAAAATTAGGCTAGTGTTCTCCATTAGTAGAACCAGAAAGAAGATTAAAGAAAAAAAAAATTCGATGCACACTGGTGATCTTCACATGACGTGGCAGCCGGCGATGTCGTCGTCGCCGTACATGCAGCACTCGTCGGCGAACCGGGTCGGCTGCGGCCGGACCACCGGAATACGGCCGCGGCGGCACAGCGCCATCGCCGGCGAAGGAGTCCCGTGGTAGCAGCCACCAAAACCGTACGCCGCCGCCGGCGGCTGCGGCGGCGGCATTGTGAAGTTCGCCGCATAGTACGGTGGCTGCAGCACGGGCACGGCCATGGCCGGCGGCTCCGCCCGGTGGTAGCAGCACATGGCCGCCTTCACGTCGTCGTCGCCACCGCCATGGATTCGAGCTGAGCTAGCCCCGCTCCCTGCGCCGCCATTCGTCTCGCCGCGCTTGTCGTCGTCGGCGCCGCCGTGTTTCGGCGCCGTGCCGCCGCCCATCTTCCCGTTGTCCGGCGACGCCTCCTTCTTGCTGCCGCCGACGTCGCGCCTCCTCCTCTCCACCTCCGGCGACGGCTGCGCGACGACGATCACCTCGGCGATCTTGCCGACCTTGGCGAGCCTCTTGACGAGGCGACCGGCGTCCACGTCGCCGACGACCGCCACCCTGCCGGCCGTCGGGTGGACCTCCGTCCTCAGCACGCCTGCATGCATGCCATCACCCACAATTAAAGCGTCAAAAACACAAAGCTTCAAGAATCAACCATGGCAGCCAAGATCAATGGCCGAGAAGACAGTTAATGCCATTTGATAGATACTTCCTCCGTTTCGGCTTATAAAACGTTGTAACTTTGATTAAAATCAAACTACTTTAAATTTAACTAAGTTTATAAACAAATATAGTAATATTTATAATACCAAATTAGTTTTATTAAATCGATAATTGAATATATTTTCATAATAAATTTGTCTTTGGTTTAAAATATTATTATTATTATTATATAAACTTAGTTAAAATTGAAGCATATTGACTTTGATCAAAGTTAAAACGTCTTGTAATCTGAAACGAAGGTAGTACCTTTAAGGTTGAGGGCTTTGAGCACCTTGCTCCGGCATCCGTCGCAGCAGTTGACACTCACCTTCAGCTCAACTCTCTGCATGAACAAGTCAACAGTAACTTCATAAGATTACATGAAAATCAATTTGATGCTTATTATTACTAGGTAAGCGTTTTTAAAATGTATTATCAGGTAGCTTTGCTCTGTTACGGTACATACCTTGATGAGCTGATCTTGTTCCTTGGCCATGAAAATAACAAGCCCTGTTTGCAAACAGAGAATTTCACAGGAATTAGTTCAATATTCATGCAAGAAACGGGGTGTTTCATCTGCTCAGTGACAACCGATGGCTAGCCGTGTTGATATCTTGCTCAATATATATGGATGAAGCAGCCTGATGATTGAAAATTAAGATACTATCTTTAAAACATTACTACTAATCACAAGACATGGATTCGCTAGCTAGCTGTATCAGCATATTATTATACATTATTTTAGAGTATTTGAGCAGGTATATACCTGGGACAACTCAAATCAGCTCAACATGTAGTTTTGATTCAGAGAGGAGAGTACCCTAAGCTGGCTTTTGATCTGTATGATTAAGTACAACTGGGAGCACAAATGCCAGTATTAATCATTGATGCTTGTTTAGGGCAAAGTATTAGTGCCAGTGTAGAGAAAAAAGTGGAGCCATCTGTGCGGTTATGCATGATAATTAACTAGCTTTAATTAGGTGAAGCACATCTAGCATATAAAAGAAACCAAAGAATAAAGCAACTTTTCTCCATTTGATTAAACTAAAGAAAAGAGTATTAAAAATTGGTACAATTCAAACCAGATGAAAAGTAGCCAAAAGAGGGGGATGAACATCTTGCCGGTCAGGGCCTCAGGGGCAGAGCCAGAGATTTGCAACCCCTAGGGCAGAGTAATGTATTTAATCCTAGACACTTCAATTTTCAGTATATTTTGATAAGATTTCAGTACAATTTTGAGGCAAGTCTACGGCCAAAGCCCAAGGTGCCCATCTTTATCTCCGCCCCTGTTTGTCTGTCTGTGCTTCTTAATTTCTTAGATAGTCCATCTCCATATTATAAGTCGTCATTTTTTCAAATCAACTAGCCGAGGGCGTGGGAGACGGCTGCATCTGGTCGGCGCGGCATCGTTTGGTGGAGGGGTCGGAGACCGGCTTGGTGCAGAGAAGCGCAGCCGATGGCAGCTGAGGCCGGCTTGGCGCGAGAGGCGCAGCCGATGGAGGGAGGCCGGATCGGCTCGAGAGGCGCGTCCGGTGGAGGAGGCTGGCTTGGGGCAGAGAGGCGCGGTCGGCGGTGGAGGAGGCGACCTAGGTGTGAGGAGGAGCTGCCGGTGGGTGTGGTGGTCTTCGGCGCACGAAGGCTGGCCAGCGGGGGACGCCGGTGCAGGGGTCTCACATGTCGGCAAAGCTTGTGTGGTGGTGGAGCATCGGTGCCTCAGACGTGGATTTCCCTAGGGGGCGTTCTCGTCTGTGTTCCTTTGTTGGTCTAGTGGCGGTCGGTCACGCTTAGCGGCGGCCGGTCCGGTGTTAGCCTTCTCCTGGGCTTGTGTGTTAGCGATGTCGGCGTGTGGGTGGTGGTATAGTTTTTTCCTTTTTCCTGGTTACAACCCTCCTGGGTTGTAATCTTGTAATTTTTTCCTGCTCTATCAATAGAACTTCGCACCGTCTTGTGCGAGTCGTTCAAAAAATTTTTTCAAATCAAATTTTGTTAGGTTTGATCAAATTTATAGAAAAATTTAGCAACATCCAAAACACCAAATTAGTTCCACTAATTCTAACATTGAATATATTTTAATAATATATTTGTTTTGTATTAAAAATATTGTTATATTTTTCAACAAACTTAATCATCATTTAATTTTTTTAAAAAAATAAAATGACTTATAATATGAAACGGAGGAAGTACTACTTCAAGATTGGGATGGTTTGTGAATCGTCTATTCTCAGTGAGCTCTACGCCTCCACCGCCCTAGGATGTGCACTTGTGCAGCTAGACGATTGATCTGTAATTTTTCTTTCAACATAAAAATAATTTAATTTTGAAGGAAAGTTGATTTTCGCTCTAGCGTGGCTCGGCTCATTAGCTTGAACTAGTCTCAACTCTCAAACAATAGAGAAAAAATATAAAAAAAAAACAATTTCGAAGAATGCAAAAGCTGATCAAACTTTTTTCCCCCACCGTGGGCCATGACATCCCAATCAGTCAAGTTCAAGGTCGGATGGCCTGGGGCCAACCTTCTTGAACCAAGTGGGTAGGGCTACCCTTCTATTATATTGGAGTAAGACCCTGTTTAGATGGGACTAAAACTTTTAAGTTCCTATCACATCGGATGTTTGTACACTAATTATAAATATTAAACATAGACTATTAATAAAACCCATCCATAATCTTGGACTAATTCGCGAGAAGAATATATTGAGTCTAATTAATCCATGATTAGCCTATGTGATACTACAGTAAACATTCTCTAATTATGGATTAATTAGGCTTAAAAAATTTGTCTCGTGAATTAGTTTTCATTTATGTAATTAGTTTTATAAGTAGTCTATATTTAATAATCTAAATTAGTGTCTAAATATATAGACTAAAGTTAAGTCCCTAGATCTAAACACCACCTAATTCATTAGGATGTGTTTTTTTAGGGGTTACGAATCTCTTCGCTGCGTATAAAACAGGCAACATATTAAGATATGGTTAATTAAGTATTACCTAAAAACTTAAAAAATGAATTAATATGATTTTCTACAGCAACTTTTTGATATAATTTTTTTTAAAAAATACATCATTTAGTAGTTTAGAAAGCGTGCGCGATAAATAAGAGAGTGAGACTCTTACATGAAACACACTACTTAGCAATTTTAAAAACGTGTTAAAGAGCTAAAAAAGACTAGTTGGAAACTTTTTTTGGGGGGGGGGGGGGTGGCTACCCGGCTCCACCGACTGATGCAACCATGTCTCATTAGATTAAACCTAATTATCTTCCTTAATTACCATATGAATTGAACCAGCAGCAGTATATACACAGTACTACATACTTACAACGGTTTAGTGTAAAACAGCAAAGCAAATGCTCACGAAAATGATCTACAGATTTATATAGACTGGTGTATATTATATTTATTGTTAAACTTGTTCAGGCTCATGAAAATTTATGGAACCGCCAATGTGGGGGTGTGGGGTGTGGTGGGGTGGGGGGGGGGGGGGGGCGGCAAAACTCCCTAGAAGGTCATGTAAACTTATTACTCCGTGTTCGTTAGCCTCCATTCGTGTCAGCTAGACAGCTAGTAGCATGCGAACTGTGGCCTAACATTGGTGGGTTGGTCTGACCGAAACGTTGACGAGTGAGAATGCAGACTGTACGAGGAAAAGAAAAATCCAAACGGACCAGTTTGCTAAGGCCATGTTTAGATTCTAACTTTTCTTTTCAAACTTTTAACTTTTTCATCACATTGAACTTGTCTACACACAAACTTCTAACTTTTCCATCATATCGTTCCAATTTCTTCAAACTTTTAATTTTAGCGTGGAACTAAACACAGCCTAACTACTCTGTTGAAAACACCTCTTTACAACTATGGCCTTGTTTAGTTCTCCAAATTTTTTTCCTAAAAACATCACACCGAATCTTTGGACAGATGCATGGAGCATTAAATATAGATAAAATAAAAGACTAATTACACAGTTAGAGGGAAAATCGCGAGGCGAATCTTTTGAGTCTAATTAGTCCATGATTAGCTATAAGTGCTACAGTAACCTATATATGGTAATGACGGATTAATTAGGCTTAATAAATTCGTCTCGCGGTTTCCAGGTGAGTTATAAAATTAGTTTTTTCATTCATGTCCGAAAACCCCTTCCAACATCCGGTCAAACATCCGATATGACACCAAAAAATTTTCTTTTCGCGAACTAAACAAGGCCTATATATAATTAAATGAATTACATATATCCATGCAACTAGCAAATTTGCTATAAAACACTTAAATTTTATGTAATTTACTATAGACATCACAAAGATGTGTCATGACTAAAGAACACCTAAAAAACTAGTAATGTGCTAGAGGTTACTTTTAACTGAATTGGAGAGATAAATTGTACTCACTGATATTTGATAATGGAAATGGTACCACACGTTTATTGTGGAGTACCTCACTCTATTGTCACTTTGACTTTTCCATATTCAATTTTTTAAAAAGTTTTAACCAAATTTATATAAAAAGTTGGCAACATATATAACACAAAATTAGTTTAATTAATATTAAATATGTTTTGATAATATATTTTATTTTTGTTAAAAACATCGCTATATTTATATTATAAACTTGACTAAACTTAAAACAAAATTAATTAGAAAAAAGCCAAAATGTCCTAAAATATGAAACATAGAAAGTACTGCTCTTTCCATCCAAGAGATAGCAACCTGAGACTCGTAAGACTAGATATTCATATTCAGTACAAGTTGCTATACGTGTCCAGATTTACAAGAATAGAATATGTGAGACCCATATATCCAGTTCTAGCTGAATGTAGGGAGTACATCCATCCCAATATAAGTAGGAGTGCAATTTTGTATAGATGTGATATATCCTATAACAATGATATCACATCTATACTCCCTTCATTCTAAAAAAACAATCTATTATTGGATGAGACTTTTTTCTACTACAATAAATCTATACACGTAGAAAAATATCATCGAATATTAGGTTGCAATGGAGGGAGTTCTAGTGCTTACTCTCTCCGTCTTAAAATATAAACATTTTTAGTATAGTGCCAAGTCAAACATTTTTAACTTTAATTATTAATAAAAAAAATAAAAAAATCGATTGATGTTACTAGATTTATCATTAAACAAAATATTATAATATGTAACTCTTTTTATTTAGAATATATATAGATGTATGTCGAAGACCATATCAAAGTTAAAAATAAGTGTTCTGAGACGGAGGAATATATTGCATATAGGACGTCGTACTTATCAGCAAAGAAATGAAATGGATGGACGGTGATCACGTGTTGACCAGACCTGACACAAACTCACATTCATTACTGTTACGCGTCTCCACGTGCCTCCTCTCCCTCCACCGGACCTCATATCATATTTCCTTCCCTTAGTCGCCATTTTCTTCCCATATCCACGCGCCACGTGGACTTCCTGACGACGGCCGGCGACACGTGAACCCAGAACCTTCCCCAACGATCTCATTCTCTTGCTGTCTTGCGTGTTCATGCTGCCCCGCGGGCGTTGAGTTTCTTCTCTACTTCCTCCGTCACCAACGACCCATGCATATCTATCTGATCTCCACGACGCGCCTAAGCAATCCATCTCCATCTCCCTATATATAATGGATCGAAAGCTCGACATGCATTACATCTATCTCAAATCATCTCTCTGCCTCATCTCAAGAAGAACAAAGCTTACTATACCCAAGATCGATATAAATTTCCCTCTGTATAGAGCTTCTTTGATTTCATTTGCTAGCTATGAGCTACCAGACTCCTCCTCCTGCTGCCACAGGTAATTACGTACTGCTCATCCATTAGCCAAGAGTGCTTGAGCAGCTAGCTCATGTGACTTTTACTACTCTGAATTTGTAGCTAATTAAGCTAGTACTATCTCAGTTAATTTGTTCTTTCTTTTTTTCTCATGATGTGCGTGTGATATCAATTGCAGGGTACCCCTACCCGGCGCAAGAAGCAGGGCAGCAGCAGCAGCAGGCGTACCCTGCCTACGTGGCGCCGCCGCCGGCCGGCTACCCGACCAAGGACGGCCCGCAGGAGCAGTACCCCGCCGGCGCCGGCGCCGGCGAGACCACCAGCCGCGGCCACCACCACCACCACCACCACGGCGACGGATTCTGGAAAGGATGGTCAGTTCCATCAGCTAGCTTCTCTCCTCATTTCTTTCTCTTTTTCAGATTAAAATACTAATTCCTGCTTAATTAATTAACTGTGTGATCTCCTGCTGACGAAGCATGCATTCTCTGCTCTCCTGTGTTGTGTTGTTTCAGCTGCGCTGCACTCTGCTGCTGCTGCCTCCTCGACATGTGCTTCTGATGAGCAAGCATGGTGGTTCATCGATCATGCATGCATGGTGATCATGCCATATGATGTGCTGTGTGTATTGTGTATATCACTAGTTCATATATACTACTCCAGTATTTATTGTGTACTTAAATTATGTGTTGAGTGGATGTGTTGAGCACCATCTTTTTGTCTGATGGTGTTTGTTTACTTGATCATATCTTGTTCATTCTGTATATTTGGGGTCATTTGTGATATTCAATTTGGTGGATTATTTGGTACCATGGTGGTTTAATTTGGCGATGAATTTTTGAATTTGTGATTATCCCTATGCATGGGACGAAGTATCAACTTCACCAGATAGATTTATACCATGTAAAATATGAGGAAATTTGCGTCAGACAATTGGAGGAAAGAACACCTGGCTAATATAGGCTTAAATAAAGCACAAGTACTATAGACTAATTCAACAAATTAAATCAAAGATGCTACAAACTGACAAGTTTCGATTGCGCAAGCAAAAATGCTGAAAACTGAGAGAGAAGCCACAGATTCGGTACTACTGTTTGCCGCATATATGACTGACCAAGTGGCCACCAATAGAAGAAGAAGATAGCCACCTAACGCATCAGCAAAGCTCTCAAAGTCAGCTAATTCAAACAACCTAACCAACACAACACAAACTCATATCAGAAATTATACATAGCTTCAGGTGTGAGACTACTGATGCTTGCCAGCTGGAGTATCAAACATTATAGAACGATTATAAAATAATAACTTATCTATGACAATGACTAAAGCTATTAGGCTTACTTGTAGAATTTTTCTTGAAACTGTCTTATATTGGTCATCCATATCTACAAATCACTTCCACATGGTGCAACTGCAACTCTAGCAGGTGTACCATTAGCATTGGTTTAGGTTCCATTTCAGGTCAACATTCGATTACTTAAGCTAACTGGCTTTCTTATGCATTCGATTATTGACTTTTTTTCTCATAGATTGAGGCCATATCTGTATCAAACCAAACAGCATGTAGCATAACACCAAGTAACACAATAAGGCAAATGAAGAAAGTCAAAGACCTCACTGATATGATTGAGAGAAGCAATTGCCATATTCCCCATTCCAATATTCAGTTGAAGATAACAATTGTATCATTTTCAATGTTCGCATCTAGAACAAGCTTCAGGCTTACAGTTCATTATTGGCATCTACAGATGAAACCACTCTGTATACATTGAACATTGTCAATTTGTCATCACCATCATCAATCACTACAACAACGACAGCGGCAGTGGCAATGGCTAACCCCTCTTGGCTTTGAGCTCTGCAATCCTTTCCTCTGTGGCCTTCAGGGCATCACCATATTTGCAAATAATCTAGATATTAACACAGGATTTGGACAGATTCAAGTTAGTTCAATCAGTTACACCGGAAATTATACATAGAAAATATGATATATTGTAAATATGTGATCTTACTTCTTCAACTTCATCAGGAGTCATTATAAGCGGTGGCGAAAGCATAATGTTATCCCCAGCAACCCTGATAAGCATTCCGCGCTTCTCACACTCGGCACCAAACAATGAACCAACACCTGGGATTAGCAACCAAAACGAGATCAGTTTACTGCAATCATGCAAACCATTTTGTAAGGATCCTTGCATCTTTAGGAAAGTTTGCATTTATAAATTGAGCTTAAATCTGAAGAATAGGTTATCCATGTCCTAAATCCCATTGTTTGTGACTCAGAAACAACTATAGACAAAGAAGTAAATTACTGCTAACTTGTAGTTTTCAGAGTCCCTAGCCGACCTGAAAACCTATGGAGGAAAAAAACAATAATTACCTATAATAATGGTACTGGTAAATAATAAAATTCCCCTGTTTGCATTCGACCCTAAAGATGGGCTAATTTTTTCTACTTAAATTCTTGGTACATTCTTCAGAAAAATGAAAGCATTCAATCATATGGCAGATACACACCCCATTCAGCAGGGAATGGATCATTCGGAGACTTGTTGTCGACAAATTCAGTCCCAAGTATCAGTCCTAAACCACGTATCTGCGTAGAGGAGCAGACAGTTATGTGTTTGAACAAGAAATATCCATCCGACTTTGAAATCTCACAAAATTACAAGAAACTTAGACATGATAATACCTCGCCTACAATTGGACTTCCAGAGAAGGCCTTGATTCCCTCCTGGAACCTTGGGGCAATTTTCTGAACATGTTCGATGATATTCCTTTCTCTAATAGAAATTAGGAAGGATTCATCAGACAATCACATCAGCATAATATTAATATTTTGTGTTATTATGAAAAGTGTGTTTTACTTATAAATCTTCAATGCTTCTATGGCGACAGCACAGGAAACTGGATGCCCCGAGTATGTAAATCCATGAGCAAAAGAACCTGTAACAAACAGGATTTTGCTTGTCAATTCAGAAGCAACACAAAAAATAAATTCATCCCATGGAATTGTCTTTACCGAGCTTGTTGCTCTGTGAATAAATTACATCTGTTATTTCCGGACTAACAAGAATAGCTCCAATTGGCATGTAGGCAGAAGATAGAGCCTGATGGGAGAAAAGAAATGAGAAAAACGAATCTCTATCAGTTTCATCAAACAAATAAAAGAGAGAGGAGAGTTCTTGTCTTATCAGATAAGCACTCTGCTGTTATTGAAGCCTGAACTCACCTTGGCTATTGAGACAAGATCTGGTTTAATGTCATACATATCACATCCAAACATGGTTCCCAATCTACCAAATGCTGTAATGACCTACAAATGGATGATGATGTACTAATTTTCCCATAAAGTAAATATTCTACCATTCAGACTTTCTTTCTAATAGAGAAACTTTCGAGTACCTCATCTGCTATTAATAAGATGTCATACTTCTTGAGGACTGCTTGAATCTGTTGGTAGAGAACAAACCCACAGAAAATTATTAGAGGCAGCACAATAATCTAAATATTTTATGTGGAAAGAACAAATAATTGGCATCAGCACCATGAAAATAATAATGAAGCTACATAAAAGAAAATCAGGGCTACCTTCTTGTTGCAACTTGTTTTTTACGTAAGTGTTGGAAGTTGTTTAAAATGTAAGAAATCTTAGAGACGGTATAGTAACAAAATTCTATCTAAATATCAATGCATTTTTTATGCATTCCCAGAACAGTGCATGGGCTGACCGGGAAATGATAAACACAGAAGGTCTCTGTTTTACATCCAAGTTTAATTGAAATAATATAATCCTAAGGACATAGAATAAATAACTTCTCTTCAGTAGTCAGCTAAAAATCTGGCAAATACTACAAACTGAACTGAGGATATGATGGATGTAATATGTTCAACAATCAACATGCAATAAACGTTTCTTGAATTCAGAAAATGCATCAAGGTTGTATGGACTGTGGGGCTAACATGTGATTCTGGTTACCTTCTCAAAGTATGTCTTTGGAGGAGGGATAACACCGCCAGCACCCATCACAGGTTCAGCAATGAAAGCAGCAATCTGAAAATAAAAAGGATATGAAATGCATCAGAGAAATATTCAACAAAATATAGGATATGGTATTTTCTGATGGCAGAAGGAAAAATTCCTCACTGTTTCTGGTCCTTCTTTGAGAATAAGATTCTCCAGGTTGGTGGCAAGTCTAGTTGCAAATTCTTCTTCTGTCTCATCTATATCACAGTAAAATCATTTCATTAGTGTAATATCATGCGGTGATAATAAAAGCCCCCAACCCCACAAATTAAAAAAATGCTGCAACAAGAGTACCAGGAAGATGGAAGCGCCAGTAGTGAGGGCAATCTGTGTGCAGAACAAAAGGAGCTGGCAGATCAAACTTTTGGTGAAGAGCAGGAAGACTGTAAACAATGCAGGAATTAGCAAGTTATTCTAAATATACCAAGAGAAGAAAGCATCTACTTAGGATTATAGAATTACCTCGTAACTAGTATGAATATTATTTGATAGATTTAAGGACTAACAGAAGGAAATATTGATGTTATGGAGTATGATTTACTCACCCTGATAGACTGGCTGACACTAATGTTGATCCATGATATCTGTAAAAATATAAAATAGCTGGGAATGTATAACATCCAAATGGCTCGAGAACTTAAATAATCAAGGTAAGGAGCTTAAATGATATTGAAAGGTAATGCTGGTGGATACAAGGACGGTGATTTAGAAATAATTCTTAGAGTATTTCATCTGTTGTTAAGTTTGACGCAAAAATATTACAAAAAGCATGATAATATAAACTGACACCATCATCTGGTATTGACATGTGAAAGACTTATATACAGAACTGCAAGTAAAAATATACAACTGACATGCAGGACAAAATGAATTGAGAATTATAATCATAAATGAAAATAAATCATATCAACAAATCGTCTATTGCATTAGGAGAAAAGGCTAAAGTGTAAAGTAAAATGAATCGTACGATTTTGAGCGTGCGATAAATTTCTTCTTGTTAGGTCTTCCCAATGCATTGTTATAATACCAAACTAGCTTTACCTGTAAAGAATAACACTGTTATAATACTGAATACTTCCATACTTCTACTCCACCATAATCCTCTGAATATCACGACTGACCTTTGTACTTTGTGGAATATCACAACTGGGGGACCATACACTATTTATTTTCAGTAAATAAAACCCCACAATGTTTTTATATTCTGTGGCACAACATTTATTTTTGCAATTTTTTACTAACCAAACTTGAACAGAAAAGTTCATAATGAGAGCAGGTATAGTATAAACTCCAAATAATGATAGTTATTTGTTTTGACTAATTATTGTACCTGAGAATCATTTGCTTCTGAACCACTATTTGTAAAGAATATTTTTCCCATTTCCCTTGCAGTGAACATGCTGAGAATTTCATTAGCAAGATCCTGAAATTAGCAGTATAATCATCAAGATTCAGAAACCACCAATTTTTAACAGAAACAAGGGAACTACTAAATGTGATGTAATCAATTGTAGCATCAAATTTTATTCCTATTTGGAAGATGGTGAAACTAGGAATTATCAAGTAAAATAACAAGCACACTGTTAGAAATATAACATCAACAACCTACGGTTTTAACTATATTCCTGTAAAGATAGTGAGATAAAAAAGGTACCAATGAGGGTTTGGTAGTACGGTTCCAAAAGGAGTGGTAGAAGGGTAATTTGTTCAATTGATCAGTTGCAGCTTTGATCAATCGAGGCTCATTACCACCTGAAAGCAAAGGGAATTACGCAAAGAAAACAAGACAATATACAAAGGACAATAGCAAAGTTTAGTATATATGCAATACTACATTTGCTACATATGCGGGAAACGAGTTTTACTAGAAAGTAGGAACAACTCTCTGGTATACCACAAAAATCTGAAAATACAGCTTGAACTGGTGCACATACCCAATGCCGTAGACCACAATCCTGCAAGAGCATCTATGTACTTCTTCCCATTGATATCATAAACGTAAGAACCCTGCAATTCGTTGAATATGATATAAGATAAAGCTAGAAACCACCACATTATGAAGAGAAGTCAACATGGAAAGCTACATGTTCTAAATCTTGTGCTATAATCTGAGAATCAATGGAAAAAAATTTTAAGACAATTCCAAATTGCAGAACCTCAGATCTGTCAATAACCAGAGGATGCAAATCGGTGCTCTGCCATCCAGCAGTGAATGGGGCCAGCATGCCATGCCCCTTGAACCTGATACAGGTAAAAAATGTTGCAGCATCAGTGGTAGATAACAAGAAATTTAGACTAGATATGTCTATACACATAATTATGTGATAATTCTGCACATAAAACATACCCATTTTCTTCTGTCGAGTCGACCTGAAGAGACGGTTCAGAGCTGAAATATCTGGCTGGTGCCTCTGAGGAATATTTTGGCAAACATCCAGTGGCAGCTACATGTTTTACTATGTTGCTTGCCTATGTGAGGAAATAGATGAATGCAGAATTTAGGTACATGAGCTGTAAGAAATGCTGACTTTAGAATAATGTTAAGAGTTCAAAATCGCTTCAAACTACTCGAGCTACTCTCAGAGCAACTGTTTTGAAGAAAACTCTAATCTTGAGCAAAACCATTACTGCTTAAATCTGTACATTCAAGGTTTTTTTTTTAAACAAAACAAAGAATGAAGGCAAGTTGCTGATAACAGCACAACGAAATGATCAGGAAAGCAGGGTTTAGAGAGTTGCTCTATAATTGCTCAAAAAAGCATAAACATCTTAAATCTGACTAAACATAACATCTGCAGCAGGCAAATTAAAAAAGAATAAATGAAATCACAAACACACGACTGCTCCAATTATTAACCAATTCTCGATTAACAAAAGACTGCACCTTTCTAAGGCTGCAAAACGAATCAAACAGACCCACCCAACCCTGCTTAGTGCTTACTAACAGCAACACCCTGTTGTTCTTGAGCCTTTATAGGGATCAAAAATCAATTCCACAGTGCAAAAAATATACAATACTACCTCCAAATATTCAAAAAAAACAAGAAGACGGAAACATCAAAACCGTTCCACTTCTTGTTACAAGCAGTGACGCAGGTGCAGTAAAAACCTCCAAGAAATGCAGAATTTAATCAACATCACCTTGGAGGCCGCATTAGATCTGAGAAGGAGGAGACTGCGGCAAATCATCTCGCTGCGATTCGGATTCCTTCCCGCCTTGTCACGGGGTTCTTGGAAGCAAGTGACGAACTGACGAGGAGTGAGGAGGTGGGAGATGAAAAGGATGTGGAGAGGAGGACGTGGTGGAAATTATCCGTCCGTTCTTGAAAGTGATGGCTCCGGTGTGCGGGGAACGAAGGGCAAATTGATACGTGCACCCCGCAGGAAACGTCAGGGTGCATGTGAACAAGCTGAATGTGACCCAAGATCGTGGCTGGGTTCATTTTTGGAGCTATTCCTTGTCTAAAGAAATAAAGTTGCTTGTATTGAATAACGAATCAGTGGTTGCAAGGATTAGCGAGTACAATGATGCATCAATTTTCCTGAAAATTTTTTAGCGTTACTTCATCCAGTCGAAAATATAAGATGTTTTAGTTTTAAGTCAAATCTTTATATACTAAAAGTCCATGAAACTTCCTACAAACGCTCCTAAACCGCCAAGTGGCGCTCTAATAAATTAGAGAAATCCCTAGAAATTCTAATAAAAAACAAAACATCTAGCCTTCGGTTTTCACTTAAACTGGTGGACCCATTATTTTACACCGTTGGATCATATTTATGAAAAAGAAACAGTAATCCCTCCGTGATCTGTTGTCCCTGATAATCGCTTAGATTTATATATAGAAAAAAGAACGTGCTACGTGAGCCTTACGTTCTGCACGCGCGACGAAACAACGACTACATATACGTCGACCTCTTTCACTGGTGATCGCCCTGCACCAGAAGATCTGCGCCACAAAAACAGCCGTGAGTGCCATGAGTCCATCGATGTGGATCCATCCAAACTCTTGAGTCCCCAAACATATACTGCTCCGGTGCAATTTATCAATTAAGATTTGGTTCAAACTTTGATCTGCAAACTACTTTTGCTGTTTTTTATTTAAGAAAAATCCCGTTCAAACTTCCAAGTTGTTTCGTTTCTGATATGAAACGACATCAACTAATTAAGGGCTCAGCTAAGCCATCGGATGACCCCTAAGTTCACTTGCACCAAGGTAGATCGAGTAACTTTTGTTCACAACGCAAGCAACCAATATGATTTAGCATGGCACTCTATAAACACTCATAAGTCGAGGAATCCTATAGTATCAATATTATAGCCCGTGCAATGTAAATTTGAGGAATCGTCTAGCCAAAAAATAAATATATTATTATATATTATATACTAAAGGTCGATTAAACTTTCTACAAACACTCTCAAACCGCCACGTGGGATTCCTACAAAAGCTTCTAAACCGCCACGTGACGCTCTAATAATTTCTGAGAAAAAAAGAAAAATATCTAACCGTTTATTTTTAAGTTAAAACAGTTGACCCGGTAATACTAACCATTATATTAAATCCACCGATCCGATCACCCTTTTATCTTAGAGCTACAGGTACGTATAAAACGTACGAACCACCACATCTGCTCCTCCCACTCAGTATTCTCTTTCTTTTTTATTTTTTTTATTAAGGTTATGCACCATAATTTGTTACTATAAAAATTATTAGATCTATTTTTACGTGGAACTTTAATTTATATATGAATGATCTTGGTGACATAAATAAATAATTACTTTTTTAAGCCAATCTACACATTCAATTTATGACACGCTTAAGCGAAGCCATCCATGACAAATCATTTATGATAGCTCTCATACTAATGAACGGATCAAAACGTAGAATGTTTGAGATATGTCTGTAGGGATAATCCATCAAAGAAGTAAGATCATCTATGACAAGTGTAGTTTTGATGAATTACGCATATGACCTAACAGATGATAAGTCTCCGCTTTCCTCACTTCCTCTCTCAGTTTTCTAGCTAAAAAGTTAAAAAAAATCAATAATTAGATGGCTAAATATTTTTTAACATATTTGATTTTTTTTGTTTGATCCATATTGACCATGTTTTGGTACATAATATTATACATTAAAAGTCCATGAAACTTTCTAGAAACGCTTCTAAGCTGCCACGTATACCCTATAAATGCTCCTAAGCCACCACGTGGCACTCTGATAAATTAGAGAAATTCTTAAAATCTCTTAGAAAAAGGCAAAAACTATTGAATTTCATTTAATCCAGTGGACCCAATATTTTTAACCATTAGATCAATCTCTAAAAGAGACGTGGGGCCTCTTCTGCTCGATGCACCACATGGGTTGCTGCCGGATGGGCACCACGGTGGGCAACGGCACCGTCGACGCCCATGGCGAGAGCTGGGAGGCGGAGCAGCTGTATGTGTGCAATGACAGCGTGCTGCCCACCGCAGTGGGCATCAACCCCATGATCACCGTACAGTCCGTGGCGTATTGCGTTGCCAAAGGCATTGCTGACTCCCTGTCCGGTAAAACGACTTAATTAGCTCTACTGTTGTTGCATATTCTATCAGTATACGCATATGATTGTTATGAGCACCAGAATAATGTGCATGCGCCTTTGTCGTGCAAAGTTGTGGATTATTTGTAATTATCTCCATGAAAAAGAAAAAAAAAACACCGCATCTTTCTGCATGGTGGTAGAATTCATCGCTCTTGGTAGTCTAGAATTCATCGCTCTCGAACATATCTTTTCATCACATTAGATATGCACAATACTCATAATAAGTACATATCTTTTCATGTAATTAAAAATTTTAGTGCGCATGGAGTCGTAAGTACGGTATGTTATCCGCGGTCCCTCTTTTTCTCTTTATCTGTTCCCTCTCTTATTCCTATTTTTATGCAATGTTGGTTAGAAACCACAAATCTAAATTGATATTTTTTATCTGTTTATATCGTTAGATAATTTATGACTAAATATATGGTTAAAGATCATATTCATTATATTTCAACTTTCAAAAAAGTCACATTTTGGTTATAATTTCTGACTTTTATATGTGTCATTTAGATAAATATAAAAAATATGAAAAAATAACCATATATATTTTTATCAACGTATTCACAATAATTAAATTAGATCAACAACGGTAAAAGTAAAATAAACTTAACTATGAGTGGTGTTAAAAAAAATTATTCCCCGCATTCTAAAACTATGGTAAGTCAAAATAATATAATTATATTTATCTATTATATACTAAAAGTCCATTAAACCTCCTAAAAGAACTCTCAAGCCACCACGTGAACATCCTAGAAACGCTTAAGACTCCTTATCGGTCACAGTTTTGCCCCCATCGACATTAATGGGAACACCATCAGCATGGGGGCCAAATTAGCTTGTGACTACATGTGTGATAGGGGCCAAATTAGCTTGGGAGTACAGGTGTATATCACAGATGACCGAGCTAAGAGCTTTATCTACCAATTATTTTAGAAACTTAAAAGATAAAAACTATTTAGTATTCAAACTACCATGATTGTATAAATGGCTAATTCTTTCAAACAAAAAAGATAAAATAGGGTAAGCATGGTAGGCTTCACATTTAAGATTATGCAATATAAATATTGTCACTAAATGCCCAATGCACGTTAGCTAACATAAAATCACAAACAGTGATCGTTTGGATCACGTAAATTTCTAATGTTTAATCATAAATTTTAGAGCAAAAATATTTAAATCATGACAACAATCATACCACAGTGCACGGAACAAATGAATTGTCTCCCACACTGCAAAATCAATTTAGACCCGAGAAGGCTTTTTTGTTTGAAATATATATAGTGTCACATGCACCCAAGGTATCGATTAATAACAATGAAACAATCTAGCCAACATATAGAAAAAAATAGCAGGTGCATCTCACCAAAGATACAGTAAGTTGTAAAATATGTAGCCAATTTGCTACATACTAAAAGGAACACCGAAAGTAACTATCAAGTTCTATTGATCGTTGGCAAATAGTTATACGGGCACAAAGATTTGTATGTACCATTACTTTCATAATCAATCAATGTAAAATGTCAACTTTAAGCCACTTATCCAACTTTTTAATTGAATGAACAATTGTATTCATCGCACTCATAAACAAATGATCTCCATGGGCATTCTTTTCACATGTTCCTCAAATGTGCACCCTCCTATGTGACGAGCTTGGCTCAGACTCATGGGTCACCTTTAGAAACAACTTTTGTAATGTTTTTACACAACTATTTTAGTGGAGTACTTAACCCACAAGATAGCATTGAAACTTTTATAGAGAGAACTATTTTAGTGAAGCACTTAATCCGCAAAGGTAGTATTGAATCAATCTACTCCCTTGGCTATAGGGGAAAAAACTCATTTTATGTCCTAACGATATTTTATTCTTTTTTAATTTTTTTATGCTTCTCTACATACAAGCCATATTTCGCTTTGACACATCAATAAATGAATGTCACTGATAATTAAACGAATTTACTAAATTCCACAACTTGCATGTATAAGCTTCTAAGGTATCAATACAAAATCAATAAATTAAAGACAGCAGGATGGTAGAAAACTATATTTATGAGAAATTAAAGTTTCTTAAGATTTTTTAAGAAAAAATAAACAATGAGCATTCAATTAAGAAGGGAAATACATAACTTTAATTTAAATTCATTTTGTTAGACCTGTTTTCGAAAAGAAATAACAAGCATGCCCGTGCGAATGCGCGGGCTACCTTCCTAGTTTATATAAAGAATATATCAATATCTACAACACCAAACTAATTTAATTAAATCTACAATCGAATTTTTTTATAATATATTTGTTTGGTATTAGAAAATATGGCTAAATATTTTTTTGATAAATTAAGTCAAATTCAAATACGTTTAACTTAGAACGAAATCTTCAAAGGGAGTACCGGAGTATTATGAATACACTGATATTTGTGGGGGCAGAAACGACTACAAAGCACTGTTTATATCTCCAATGTTGTTGCATCAGAAGAAGAATGCTCAATCTTCTCGGATGAAATGCGGACGGAGGTTGATGGATGATGATTCTGTTTACAGGGATGAATTAAATATTTGAAAAAGTACGAATTACCCTCCTTAACTGTTACGGTCGTTCGAATTACCCTCTAAACTCCAATACCGGATATTAGACAGCCTAAACTCTTCAATCCGGATGAATCATCCCCCTAACTCAATCTGGAGAGGTTTTCAGCCTACATGGCATACAG